TGTATCTAAAGCATGACTTTTGCTGTCCTGCTGTTCTTGTCGTGGAGGGGTCTGTGGGTCAGGGAGGGGTCTGTGGGTCAGGGTCGTCTGAGGAGGAAGCAGATGAAGGGAGTTGCACACGGGAACTTTTATTTAAGATTTAAGTTTTTTATTTCAAAGGTACTCATGCTCAGCAGCAGAAGCGAAAGCTGATGATAAAGTTGAATAAAAATCTAAGTCTGATTCTGAAGGTAAATTAAATATTTGACAGCGATCATTACACAGTGTGGCTCTAATTCTTCACTTCACCATCTGTGTCGCAGTTTCACGTCTCCAAAATGAGCGTACGCATGGGTCAGAGCTGGCGTGAGGCACCGCACATTTTCATGTCAAGTTTTGATTTTATAAATCACAACCTTGGCGTAAAAAGTGGCGTACGCAAGTTTCTGGGCTCAAATTGTGCGTACGCCAGTTTTATAAAACTGACCCCAGGTGATTTCAACTCTCTTAATGAGATATGTTTTTTATTATTTAAAACGTAACACTCCCCATTCCTATGAAGTGAACAAAATTGGAATTAGGAGAAAAAATATAGCTTTTGTTTGAAGATATATAGAGGGTTTGAAAATCGTTTCTCTTGTCAAAGAACAGAACCAGTGGTGGGATGTAAATAAGTACAAGTACTTTTTTGCTGTACTTAAGTACATTTTTCATGTATCTGTACTTTACTTAAGTATATTTCATCATGGGTACTTTTGACTTTTACTCCACTACATTTTACATTAAGAATCTGTACTTTCTACTCCACTACATTTCTGTTATGCGTTGAATTACAAAGTACATTCATGTCACGATTTATTTTATTTTATTTTGTTTGTGTTATATTTGATTTCTTTTTGTTAGAAAATAATCAGTGGCGAGAGGGGGAATTGCTGTAATTGGTCCATTGAACAAAGCAGGAAAGTACCATTACACCGTCCATAAAAAAGCAGAGCATCAGCATGCCCACAATGGTTTCCACCATGGAGGAAATGTGCCATTCATGGCCTTATTTAACTGGTTCAAAAAATGACTTGTTGAGATTTGATAGAGGAGGTTGGTTGTGAGTTTACATCTTCTTCAGCTGTTGTCACAATATGTGATGATACACAGAATCACAAATCCAAGTGTGAACAGTGTCGCAGAGTGTAAACACAAAACTATGCATTATTTGCAGCATTGTTCACTAAAATGGCACCATTGATGTATTTAAATATACATACAGTAGGCACACTTCATGATATTGAAGACCATTAGGGAATACATTAAGCAAGTACTTGTACTTTTAATACTTTAAGTATTTTTAAAAGCAAGTACTTACTTTTACTCAAGTAAAATGTTAATTTGGTACTTTTACTTTTACTAGAGTACATTCTTGCCTGTTTATCTGTACTTTTACTTAAGTACAGTGTTTGAGTACTTTCTCCACCACTGAACAGAAGAGAACTGAGCTGAGCTCTTGGTGAGACTACTTTAGAACTTTAAATACAGCTGCTCCTTTGACAGGGAAATCATTTTTTTTCACAGCTTTTGTAATGTTTGAAAAACTGATATAAAATCTCTCATCTAACCATGGCTGAACTGGGAATTAGGCTTGGGCAAAATCGTATCGTGTGCACTTAATCATCAGGAAAACTTTAATTGTTTTTTTTTTTTGGCACTTGATAATTAATATGATTAATGCCACTAGGCAGACTGACTGAACATTTCCCCGGTCAGTCCACTCGATGCTC